CAACACATGTGGCAAAGAGCGAAGCTTTCGCTCCGTACCTCACCCATGTCACGACAAGGTAACAAGGACGTTCGAGACAAGTTCATACCACCAGATCTTGATCTGGACGCCACCACAACCGCTGCAAGACAACAAGCTCGGGCCACATGCCACTACACCTCTTGTCACCTACACGACCAAGGGACACAAACCACCACTGCTGACATGATGCTCGCCGGACAACCAATCATGCAGACCACCACCTAGGGTTGTTGGCCCAATGCCTAGGAACCCAACACACCCGCCCTCCCTCGCACACCGACACCAACAACCAAACCATGCTTACACCACCCACCTGTGCGGCACAGAAAGGCACCTCCTCTCAAGCCATGGGCGAAGATTCAACCGTCAACTGCACCACCACCTGTGGCAGTGCTGACAACAAAATCGGTTTCCGCCTACTGCGGAGGCAATATCTGGATGGGGAGGGGCCACTCCCTTTGACCCAACTCTACACCGATCGTGCAAGGGCCGCCGCTCCGGCGACAATGACCACCGGCCGAGGAGGAGGAGGCATTCGCGCCCCCCTAGCCGTGACTTCAAGTGCTTTTGTTGTTGTAAGAAACTTTAGAGAAGAAATATCGAAAATGTGTACGAGGGTAAAAAAGATTGTGTTGTGAGCAAATAGAACATGCTAAGGGCATCTCCAAAGCACACCCTCAGACCATTTGCATCTGTCCGGATAGAGTGGTCCAGACTCATTTTGCACGCGGCCATAAAGGATATCGAGTTACTCGCGATTCAAGGTGGCTAGGAGGCATGGCCGGCAGTGGAGAGGCACTTCACTACAACATCGATGCTCCTCATGCGTTGACGCCCGTTGTTGCGGCTATGTACGGTGCCTAAGATCGAGGCCGTCCTATTGCCAGGGAAGGGATGTGGGCAACACTGGATGCTGGGCCGGTAGGCCGCTGACTCGAAGACGATGGGGAAGGCGGTGTGTAGAGGACACCAGCCTGCCGGAAAAGGATAGAGGAGAGGGAGGCATTGCTAGTGAGGGAGAGATGGGAGATATGGACGGATTTTCTAGAAGAAGAAGAGTAGTCACAAGACGTGGAGGGAGGAGAAAAGCTAGTTTCAGACAGAGTCGTTTTAAGCGGCGGTGTAAATCCCTAATAGGCTGTAAATCTTAGTGGGCTGTAAAAAAAATTGAATGCAAACACATGTCAACCATAGAAGTTTTTTTAGAGATGCCAACGATATAAGTAAAATATATGGCCCAAGTACTCCAATTGCACGACATCAAGGCTAGCTTAGCCACTTTATTTGAGCAGATCAAAACACATCCATCGCACCGCTTACCAACTCTCCGCCGAGACGTGCGCCGGACGTGGAGCGGTGGCAGCGCCCGGCCGGCCGGCCGGCCTGCTGTCGCCGTAGCCGTACTTACCACCGTCCCGACCATAAATAGCCGGTGAAACGGCTTCGATCTGACCCGTCGAACTCACCAACTTAATTCGCTACTCCTACCTTCGTTTCACCTGCAGGCTAGCTAGCCAGCGCTCAGTCTGAACCAGGAACACGCATGGTAGTTGAGTAACCTCGGAGTGCATATTTTTTTGCAGTAGAAACGGCATGAAATTAAAAAGCCACGAGAGTTGGTGCGAGGCGTGGAAGAGCATGAGAGCATGAGGCGCGGTTGGTGTGTGAATGACCAACATAACTACGTACGGCTAGATTCTCGGATACAGGGGCCACATACGTGCAGCCCGTGGATCTCACTGCTACTGCCATCACTACCACATACGTACTACGCACGTACGCATATAGGCTGGTCATTTCAGTCGTTCACGTACATACCGAGCGGATGTGGACAAATTAAAAGTTGGCGTGCAATTAGTTAAGATCCCAATATTTCGGCACGCCAGAAGAAAAAGAGGAGGTAATAGCACCCAGGTACCCTAACTTGCATGGAATGTGATGATTCAGTCTCAAACTTGCAAAACTTGACTCCATCGTACCTCAACTTGCATCTCATGTGATGATTAGTCCAGACCAATCACAGCTCGACAATTGGCAGCCAGGTGGCTGGACCAATCAGCGCATGCACTTTTGTAGAACCCCCTGCCTTTTTCCCTATTCAACCCGCACTCTCTATTAATTCAGGTGGGGTATGGTGAAGAGAGTGCTTTTGCAAAAGGCAGGGGGTTTCTGCAAAAGTGCATGCGCTGACCAGTCCAGCCACCTGGCTGCCAATTGTCGAGCTGTGATTGGCCTGCGACTAAATCATCACATGAGGTGCAAGTTGGGGCATGGTGAAGTCAAGTTTTGCAAGTATGAGACTGAATCATCACATTCTGTATAAGTTAGGGTACCTGGAGTGCTATTATCTCGAAAAAGAGCTAGACAGACCATCACGTACGTAACATCAGTGACCAATATTAGCATGTGTTCTAGTTCTATATATGAACTTCTAAGTACGTAGGTGCGTGCCACGGCTAACATCACTCTCGTCGGCGCATGATGCTCCGTTAGTTAGACAGTGACGCCCTATCAACCTCATCATCGTCCACCGCTCGACGACAGCTGCTCGTCGTCGTCGGTATATGCATGTTGCGGCAACGTCGTATGCACCAAAAGGGTACAAGGATTGATTGATGGCGCCAATTTGATACTAGCTGCATACGTAATTGGCATTAAGGCCCGAGACCTCATAAACCGTCGTTTTCGTTGTAGGTAGGCAGGAGTAGTCAGCTACCTCCGCCCATGCAGCGACGTCGACGTGCTACCCCGAGCCTACCTGGGAATGTTCAGAGAAATGTGCCAACGCGCGCCTCATTTCTGAAACTTGGAAACAAATGTTCACATACTCAAGCTCGAACTCAGACGGAGGAGCCGACAGTTCAGGAGCACAAGCGTACGTGCACCGTGCAGCCGCACGTACGTACGTACTGTATTATAATACTAGTACTCACTAGGAGCATACAGCCGTAAGGCAGATGCAGGTTTCAATGAGCTGCAGGTACACAAAAACATCTCGCCGGCAGTGGGTAACTCCCCGTGGTAATTAACCAGCATACAGTGACCCCTGTACTTGGCCGATCGAGTAACTTGCCGGAGCCGGCAGGAGGAAGCTAGCCAAGTCGAAATCCATGTACTTGACCCTGCTGCTTCGGCTCCGATCCATCTCATCTTATCTCATCTCATCTCAGAGTTAACTCTGTGTTTCATCCTCCATCGTGTCTCTCTGGGGAGGGAACACAGGAATTCAATGGCCTCCATAAGAAGGTGAGTGAACCAACCATTGATCCACCCATCCATCCAGCGGCAGCTTATTAACTTCACCTGCCAGGTCACCCGCCCGTAATGGTAGAGTACTCCTCTGTCGAGTGTCGACTGAGCCCCGCCGGCCCACCCTGTAAAACCCAGGGCATGTGCACCTGCTAGCTCGAAGGTTCATCTGTCTACTCTAAACTGTCTGTAGCTTGGCAGATTTTCATTTCACCCCCATGCCTGCCTGCCTGCCTAGATTTATCTGCTGCTCAGAGACACACGTACCTGAATTCATCTATGGACACTATAAATAATAAACTCTTTGTAGCTTGGCAAATGATTTCACCAATGCTTGGCTGCATGCCTAGATTTAACTGCTGCTCAGAGACACGCGTACCTGAATTCTTGAGTAAATGCCGCGCGGCTGAGGGTTGGGGATGGATTGGGCCCCTGCCTACGGCATTGTACTACTGCTACAATGCAGTACTGCTTGGGCACAGATCCATCTAATTTTACATATATATGGATGGGGTTCCACTTCCACAAACCATAATCCATTGCTAGCTAGAGTCCTAGAGCCTGGAGGAGAGGAGACAGGCAATTATATGACGAGGCGGTGGAATGGTGCTTGTCGACTCATCGATTGATCGATCAAGGTGGTACCTAACCGTTGGTTGATCTCCATATTGATGGTGCTTGTTCTGCCGGTTTGGTTTAGCACCGGAGTAGCAATCTTGAGATGGATACTGTGGAGTGTGGACTGTGGAGTATAACTGTAACTGACAGGCTCATAGTGGCTGATTTGAGCATTGTTAGGTTGGATTGTTAGTGCAAACCACACTCTGGTGATGGAAGTGCATGTGGGCTGTTGTAATTAAGATCTGCTTCTCATTGGGAAGGTTATAGCAGCTGCTACTGCTACTGCTACTGCATACAGCTCACCTGAATCTAGGCGTCATTGCGTAGATGTTAGATAGAGATAGATCCAACTGCCCTCTTGAATGAATAACAAGTTGCCTTAGGTCACTGTGAATAAACAACCGTACGAAATGGATAGACCATCATCTCTTCACTCACTTCTCCAGAGTATGCCATTTCGATTTTCGAAAAATAAAACTTCTCCAGAGTACAGTACTCTGTGAAATTCATAAGCACTTTGTTCTTTCATAACTGAAACGCAGGGACATTTCATGTTTTATTGCAGCTCGACTTGATGACGAGTACTGGTTGCACTAAGATTCATCTGGTGTGCAGATATTCGGATAGATCGGAATTCATTCACCCCTACGGTACTCGAAATCGTCCTGCCACACGCAATTGAACCGAGTTGCGTGCGCGCTTGCATACCAGTGGTACTGAACAATGAAATATCTCCCTAATCAACCAACTGTTATTCGGAGGGCAAGCAGAAGTGCTCTCACAAAGGTGATTAATTGCAGCACACACTAACAAGAAATCTGTTTCTGGCTCAGTCAGAGGCAGCTCATCATTCATGTGAAGCAGCCTGCAAAGATCCAATGCACATCTGAAAATGCCCACACCAACCAAACCCCAAAACCGGCAAGGAATTGACAGTAAACCGCGGGACATAATTACCGGAGAATTAAAGGTCCACAGCACAGCAGTGCACCAACCACACGTCGTACCGGGCCACGCGGAGTAAATTGCGGCGACGACGACATGATCCAAGCAAGAGGCCACTCACGCACTCACTAGATGGATGCACAAGTGCCTACCTAGACGGATAGATGCTCTATAAATGGCGACTGCACGCAACGTTTCAGTGCATCCACCAAGTGTACACGCATACACTAGCTACTACATCTCACTTTCAGTCGCAACTGGCAAGTGAGTGTGGAGCGCTAGCAGCAATGGCGGCCTCCTCATGGCAAGTGGCCCTTCTCGCCGTCGCGCTCTGCGTGCTCCCCGCACTGCCGGCGGCGGGCGCGGCCCGGGCCTTCTTCATCTTCGGCGACTCGCTGGTGGACAACGGCAACAACAACTACCTCATGACGTCGGCGCGCGCCGACTCGTGGCCCTACGGTATCGACACCCCGGACCACCGCGCCACGGGGAGGTTCTCCAACGGCAAGAACGTCGTCGACCTCATCAGTTGAGTAGCAAGCTCGTGCATTCATGGATGCTCTTCACCAGCCGTCGGTGGTATTTAGAGGGCTTGGCTAACTAATGATTGATTAACAATGTTGCACGCAGGCGAGCAGATAGGATCCGTGCCGGTGCTGCCGTATCTTAGCCCCGAGCTGGACGGCGAGAACCTGCTCGTCGGCGCCAACTTCGCCTCCGCCGGCATCGGAATCCTCAACGACACCGGCATCCAGTTCGTACGTGCTTCCTTCACCGATCCATCCATCGTTTAATGCACACTTCATTCAACAATTAACCTACTGTACACACTCTCTAATGCATGCATCGTGCAGGCCAACATCATCCGGATCTCGAAGCAGCTGACCTACTTCGAGCAGTACAAGCACCGGCTGGCCAAGCTCTACGGCCCGGAGCGGGCGGCGCGGGTGGTCGGCGGCGCGCTGACGCTCATCACGCTCGGCGGCAACGACTTCGTCAACAACTACTACCTGGTGCCCTACTCGGCCCGCTCCCGGGAGTTCTCCCTCCCCGACTACATCAAGTACATTTTGTCCGAGTACAAGCAGGTGCTCCGCCGCATCCACGGCCTCGGCGCGCGCCGCATCCTCGTCACCGGCGTCGGCCCCATCGGCTGCGTGCCCGCCGAGCTCGCCATGCACAGCCTCGACGGCAGCTGCGACCCCGAGCTGCAGCGCGCGTCCGAGGCCTACAACCCGCAGATGGAGGCCATGCTCCGCGACCTCAACGCCGAGGTCGGCAGCGGGAACGGCAACGGCGCGGTGTTCGTGGCAGTGAACACGCGCCGCGCGCACGACGACTTCATCGCCGACCCCAAGGCGTACGGCTTCGTCACCGCCACCGAGGCCTGCTGCGGCCAGGGGCGGTTCAACGGCATCGGCATCTGCACCATGGTGTCCAGCCTCTGCGCCAACCGCGACGAGTACGTGTTCTGGGACGCCTTCCACCCCACGGAGCGCGCCAACCGCCTCATCGCGCAGAACTACCTCACCGGCTCCACCGACTACATCTCCCCCATGAACCTCTCCACCATCCTCCATCTCGACCGCCACCTCCACGACTAGAAGATCGATGGTTCAGCCTCGATCATTTGCAGTTCGATTGCTTATGCTTTTTCGCACATGGCCTTCTTGATTTTGTCAAACAAAACGTTAATAATATAGTATTCAGTAAGTACGTGTACGTTATTTCAGCTAGTGTGTCAGGTTGAGGTTCTAGCTAGTTTTGTGATACGTGCTCAGCTAGCTAGCCAGCAGATAAATCCATGGTTACGATCGAGGTACTTGTGGTGTCATATCCGTGTACGTGTCGTGTATCTACTATCTAGTACAGCCGGGTGGGTGATAATTGAATCATGGATATGATCAAGATTCTCGATTGTTCAGTTTTGCTAGTTTCGTTGTCTGAATCGATTTTTGGCCCCGCTTGCATATCTGGCCCATGTTTTACACCTTGTTTGGTTGCCCACAAAACACAGGATGCATTACGGCAGCAAACTAACCTCAAGCGTTTGGTTGCTGCCCGCGTTTTATAATTTTCGACTCAGCTTATGCGCTATGCTTTGTTTGGTTGCACACCTTGTGTCTGATGTGATTATCTTGCACCCCGATGTGGTGAGCTTACCAGCTACCACTCAAATCAGTGCTTTTACTGCATGTTACAACACAATAAAACTACAATAAATTGGACGAAAATTATGAAGTTCTTCAGCTCACTTAACCCGATCTGACATGCACCCTTGCCTTTCATGATTGTTCTTCTCTTAGAGCACAAACTTGTACTACTAATCCTCTCCCTCCTCTCTAGTCACAAATCCTCTATAGGAACTATTCTTGTAACCGTTCACCTCTTCATGGCATGTCTAAGTACTCCCTTCGGTCCTTTTTACTCTGCACATTGGATTTGCCGAAAGCCAAACTTTGCTAAGTTTGACCAAGTTTATATTAGAAATTATTAGCATCTATAGTATGTAATAAATATAATATGAAAATATATTCCAAGATGAATCTAATGATATTGGTGTTGTTATGTGAATGTCTATAATTTTTTGTACAAATTTGGTCAAAGTTGGATGAGATTGATTTCGGTCAAACCTAATATGAAGAGTAAAAATGACCGGAGGGAGTACATGACATCCACTTCATCTACCAAGACCGAAGAGCAAGATTTCAACAAGCAATATTAGCAACACATAACACAACATATGGAATAGAAGCAACATAAGGATGCATCACTACCAGGGGAAACCCTATAGATAGACGCTTAACAACAACGCTGGGGAGGGAGCCCGCACTATTGTTACTTAGTAGCAACGTGGGGATTAATACCGCGCTACAAATAACCAGTAGTAGCAACGCAGGCTTGCCAATCCCGCTCTACTACTAAGAGGGTCCAACGGTACCCCCGGGACAGGACATATAGTAGAAGCGTGCTCTCTAGGACCCGCGCCGCAACTATTAAAGCAGCAAAAGTGTGGGTCGTGTAACCCGTGCTGTTGCTATTTATACACCGGGCCAGGTGGTGGGCCCCACATAGAAATAGTGCCGGCCACCAGACAGGCGCTATAGGTAGCTGCCTTAGCAGTATCGCGGTCCTACACCCCGCGCTACTGCTAAACTCCGCTTATCCTTTCTCGGTCATCCCTTTCCTCCTCACTCTCACTTCTTCGCTCTGCCGTTGCTTCATCTCATGGCTGTCGTTGTTGCCCTCCGTTGCCCTCGCCCACCGCCGCTGTAGTCACCCCCGAGGTATCTCTCTCCATCTTCCTCCTGCAGCCCTCCTCCCTCCTCCTCCTATCTCCGGCCGCCATCCATCCTCCTCCTCCTGTCTCCTCCCTCCCTCTTCCTCCCGCCAGCCTCCTATGGGCGCCTTCTTCCCTCCTCCTCCTGTCTCCTACCAAGTAATAGAATAGAAAATTTAGAAATATAGTAGAAAATATAAAAACTAGTAATAGACTAAAAGTATAAAACTAGTAATATAATAGAAAAATTTCTGTAAAAAAATTAGTAATAGAATAGTAATTTTCAGTAAACAAATATAGTAACAGAATAGAAAATTTTAGGTGTCGAATAGTTTTTTTTGAATACAGAGATGTTTTAGGTTTTGAAACAAATATGAAAAAATTACGTATTTACATTAACCAAATACCTATAAATATTTTAGGTATCGAATAAAATATAAAAATGTTGTTACCAATTATATTGCGAACTATCTTTATGTCTTTTTTTGACTGGAAACTGTGAGGCAACAACGCCACAGTACTTTATTCATAATCAAAACCCCACAAATACAAATGTTTATCAGTACTTAAAAGTAAAACAACTAATACTACTTACCTATGTAAACCCATACATACCTATAATACCTAAATAGTTGATCCCCACTACACCTAATTCTCTTAACATGCAGCTCTCCACGTCACCATTGTTCCATGTCAGCATTTCCACTAGCCTATTTTTCAATTTTTCACTAGAGAAAACTATTCAGTCCTGGCCCTTTTCCGGACGAGGCCCTTAGCCGGGACACATCTCCAGCCCTCCATCGCCTCCCCTCCCCTCTACGGACCAGCTTATCTCTGAGAGCGTCAAGACCAAAATTCTGCTAGAGGCTTCCGTGCAATAATTTTGAAAATAGAAGTAGGTGACAAGGATCCGCGGTCCAGTTTTTTCTTAGATCGTAGATTGGATGTCAGATTTGACAACTCCACCGCAGCAACACAGAGTTTAGGTCTGACTTCAATGCCCAGAAACCATATTGTTTCTCTATGGACCGGTATGATTTTTGCTATAAAAATTTGCTGGGATTTTCTTAAACATGGCCTGCAGTTGGTTCTCTATATTTTACTCTGGGGCAGCAGCATGTTGTTCATCTGACTTTGCATTAGTCAAGATTGCATCAGTCCTTTCATGGATACGCTACATCTGTCAATCCCTTCACCCATGTCTTCGTTAATGAAGCCTTTTGTTGTACGCAGTGGTACACATGTGTATCTCTCCTCAAGTTGTCCATGGTGAGAACTATGAATCATGCTGATTAAATAATGGACGGAGATGGCTTATGAATAATGCCTTTCTTAGCATACACACTCATGAAATCAGTTTACTACCACAGGATTTACATTTCAGATGTCTCTGACAACAGTATAGTTAAGGAAGGTATGTCAAATTTATAATTTTCTTTTCATTTTCATATCTCATTTGCACTCTGGTGGTTTGAATTTCTTGCTATTCATTCTTTTAACAGTTTCTTGATACTGGCATCAACTTTAGACATATTTGGTTTGTCAATTTGTTTCATCACATTTGATATTGCTAATAGAAATGTGTGAGTGTATCTTCTGCCTTTCCAGGGCCACTAGCGTTGCTTATTTGTGTCCACATCAAGTGTTTGCCTCCAGGGCGGGATGTGTACTTTTGCAAGGCTGCATGTGTGTAGGTACTTGCCGCAGAATTGCACAAACACTTATTTGATTGCTTATGTCTATAAATGGAATTGCATTAGCCGGTTAAGATTTCAAACATGTTTTCTTTTTTCTCGCTACTCTGATGTATCATTTCATTTGAAGGCGTTTATAATGTTGGCCTAATCTCATTTTTGTGATTAGATAAGATATTAATCATATATGGACACCCATCTTCTTGGGGACAATCAAACATTCTTGTCCCATTTCTATTGTTTCTTTGGCTTGCTATGCAGGCTACACTGAAGGCATTGGCAAAGCCATTAATTGGTTATCGGATGTAAGAATCTTTACTCTTTCGAGAGACCTTCCTATTTGAATTGTTCCCATGGGTGGTCGGAAATCCAAATTGCCATGCTTTGAACGTGTGTTTTCTTAAAATCATAGGATTGATGGCCTATTTTAGGGCAGTCGTAGACTAAAGCTATGAATTATACTACTATGTTTGCTTCATGAAGGTATTTAGAAAGAAAAAGGAGCCGAAAGACTTCACCATACAAATGTGCAATGTATTGGATAACCATAAATATGACACTGAGGGTTTTTAATACACATTTGTTTTGAATAACCATACATTTTGATTAGTTCTAAGTTGATCTCATGCGTGTTTGCTACCCTTCATAGGACGAGAATGTGTTTGTGTTTGAGGGGAGTGTTATTCTCATATATTTCTAATTCCATTCCTGATAATTTATTACTATAAATTCCCGCAGCAACGCACAGGGTATCATCTAGTTTACTTAATTACAGAGTACAAGCCATCTAGGGCAAGGAGGCAATCCAATTCAGCAACAGAGAATTATCTTTATGTCATTATCACTTTGTCATCAAAGAATGTTACATGTGATTTGATGATCAATTTTTTTCACTCGGTGGAATATGCAGGCTTTCTCGTGTCGCGTCAACCTCTCCCGCTCGGCCCCGCCCCGCCCACCATGACCGCGTCCCTGTCCTCTCTGCGTAGTTTTAGGTTTAGTTTTTTTTAATATATCTGTAGATGGATGCATGTTTGTTAGATGGATGGATGCATGGATGCATTATTGATTGATGCACTTTTGTTTCCTTTTGGAAAAAAGCCAAAAAATGGATGCATGGATCCATTTTGTAGGGAACAAATCCGATTGGCCTATGTTTTGCCGGCATGTTGACTCATTTTCGTCCTGGCAATTTCAGGCGCTCGATATATCCTATTTTTAGCAAAGGTCATGCCAGAATTTTCTGTGAATTTGGCATGATTTGTGCTAGAAAGTAGGACATATCGAGCACTTGGGATTTGACGAAACAGGAATTAAACGGCATTCCAACAAAAAATAGACCATTTTTTATGTCATTACTCGATATATGTATTGCTAATTGACTGCTTCTTAGGGTTGACTTGGAGTATGCCGGGGCTCCTTGTGTGACTTTCAATCTGTTCTTGAAGGAAGGATCCCGACTGTTGTTGTGGGGTCATTTCCTCATCTTCTTCTCGTGATATACCTTGGTAATGCAGGAGAGTAGGGGGGAAGTGACCATCACTGGCGATCGAAACATCAGTGAGGGAGTGTCCACAATATATGGTCGAAATATCAGAGAAGAAGAATCCCGACTATTGTTGTGGGGGTC